AAGCTTTTGTAACTTCCATCGTCATGTCATCGTCAGAGCCGCGCATTTGAATTGTATCAGCAGCGCTTGCATGAGATACTGTCCCGAGGATTCCTCCTTGCATCCTTGTAAATTCCATAGTTTCGTCGTACGCAGACTCGGCCCCCGAAGACCGGCGAGGACGAATGCTTCTTCGCCGACCTTTTGGAGACTTCTGTTCTTTCTTGCCGGGAGAGTGGCTAGTCAATATTGCACCAACAGCTTTGGTAACATCCATGCTCATATCTTCTGATGGCAGCTGCGACTCTTCTTCAACTTCTTCAGCCGCGTCGGTGTGCGAGGTTGAAAGTTGCGCAGGATCAATAGCATTGTTGGTTTCCTGGTCACTCGCAGTGTCATTCTCATGGTTCACGTTCTGGTTTCGTGCCCATGGTTGGAATGCATTTGTTACTGTTCCATCAACGATCTCCATCGACAGATCCCCTCCGTGCTCATCATAATGTATACCGGCGGTCCCAGCTTGTTGCGCAGCTTGACGTAGACGTTCTTCCAAGCTCGATGGCGTGTTCGACCCTGACTCCTGAGAGGTTATCGTATGACTGGTGGCATCATCCATGCTCATCGCAGTGTCGCCGTCACTATCGGAGTCATCAGACGACTCGATGCCTTCCTCGACCCGAACAGGACTGCTGTTGGTGCTCTCATCGCCTGATGGACTAGAGAAGAAGACTTCATCTTGCGAGGCGTCCAACATGACTTCTGGGCCACCGGAGCTCCTCCTTCGACGTTTCCGTTGGTGGAGATCTCGTTGGTTTCCAGGTGATTCTTCCACGATCAGGTCGTCCATTTGTTCGGCAGGAGTAGACGGTACTGCCTGTGCTTCTGAGGATTCAACTGCTTTCACGGGCGACTGCTGCACTGTCATTGAAGACTGTCTTCTTGTGGAGCTCGAAGCCGAGCTTGTAGTCGAATCTTCAGCGAGCTCCATGACGCTCCATGTATGCAAGGTGGCCTCTGGAGCGAACGAGACTCTTCTGTTTGCTAACGATTTTCGTCGCGCAGCTCTACGCTCAAGAATGGCTTGCTTTTCTGCCTTGCGCTTTCGCTCTTCCTCACGCTCGCGCTCGAGACTTTCAGTATTGGTGACCTCTTGTCGTCGAGGCGATCGTCGCGTCATCGGACTGAATGGGTCTGCCACATTTTCTGTGCCTGACATTGAAGTCTCAGCTCCCTCTTGCCGGCTCGGTCCAGGTGTTGAAAAGTCAATCAGCAGATCTTCTGCGGCAATTTTTCCAGGTGACCGGCCCTTTCCCGTGCTTCGTTTTCGCAATTCATCGAACGTAGGTATCGCTTTCGGCGGGGTAAGTGGGATTGAAGGCTTCAAGATAGATTTAATCTGAACAGGTGAAGTTGTCTGGTTGTAGTTAGCAATGCGCTTGCCTGGAAACCATAACCAGCGGATTACCTTGATGATGTTGCCCGACGATTCGGTCAAGGCTTCTAATCCTCCAGGACCAATACTCTTCCCCCGCGATCTCTTTCCTCTTGCTGGCGACACATTATGTTGGGCCTGCAGGGCAGCAATATCGGTTGTTACATTGTCCTTTAGGGCAGAGTTCCTGGACGACGGTATATGCGCAATTGATTGTCGCGATCTGGCTTTGCTAGGCTTACTGCCAGATAATGAGTCGGCCATTGCTACAGTGGGTGGCACTGTAGTGCGACCATAGAAAGGATAAGGTATAATCGAGGTTGAGTGTTTTGCATGCTAACAAAGATGTTTCGACGATAGACCAGGTTCACGTCCACCTCGTACCGCGTACAAGTCTAACCTCAATGGAGCATGGGGTAAACACGACTTATCCTCGACGGCACGTGATGCACAAAGCTGACATAAGACACACCCTTGGCAACAAAATATCTTGGCAAAATTTCGCACTTGGAGATAGTCAAAATTCGACCGACCAACCTCACGATCCGCAGTTCGACGACATTCGCGCAATCATCTGCCAACAACCGCAAGCATGGCGACCGAATTGACAGTGCAGTCCGAGCGCGCGTACCAGAAACAACCTCACATTTTCCTCAACCACAAGGCAAAGTCGGCCAAGAGCAGAGGTATCGGCAAGGGTGGCCGAAGATGGTACAAAGATGTTGGACTGGGCTTCAGAACGCCAAAGACTGCCATTGAAGGCTCATACATCGGTCAGTAGACATCTCAGGCCTCTCTCGCCGTCTTTCGAGGAACACCGAGTCTAGAAGGGCGATCGAAAATTCTTATGCGCATCAACACACGAACATGAAACTGACATGCGATGTTACATTATAGACAAGAAATGCCCCTTCACCGGCATGGTCTCTATTCGAGGCCGTATTCTTACCGGCAAAGTCGTCTCGACCAAAATGCACCGAACCTTGATCATCCGCCGAGAATACCTACACTTCGTTCCTAAATACGCCAGATACGAGAAGAGACACGCCAACCTCGCCGCACACGTTTCCCCTGCTTTCCGCGCCGAAGAAGGTGATACGGTCACTGTTGGCCAATGCAGACCTTTGAGCAAAACTGTAAGGATATACACTCGTGAGGCAGGAAGACGTGGTCACTGATCCTCTTTTCTAGGTCCGATTCAACGTTCTCCGTGTGCTGCCCCGAACTGGAAAGGCAGTCAAGTCATTCCAAAAGTTTTAGATTGGCATTAGCGATGGCAAGGCATGAATGGTGATCTGCAGAGGCAGTTTCGTATGGACCAAGCGAAACATAAGGATACTTGATACAGGGCTGGTTTCGAGAAAAGATGCTATTGGCGTCAGAAATCAGGCACAGGTTTTGAGGTAGAGGACTGGCCCATGAGGCTGAGCAGAGGGACCATGAAATGAATCAAATTCAACAGCACCAAATCCACTGGAAAAACTCTCTTTGGACCTACCTTGTTCTACTCTGTATGTTTGTGGAAATCTGTCACCCACCTCGAACATCTATGCCGATCGCGACATTCAAGACTGCAAATAGGCGAATCCAGCCTCAGCCTTGAGCGGCGCAAAACCCGAACTGTCCACCTTGGGCAAGATGCCGAGTTTCCTTTCCGTGTCCTTCTCATGCGCCTCAACCCACCTCTTGACCTCGCTCTCCACACTCCAGTCGCTGATCAGATCATCCCCCTGCCCAATCTGATGTAGCTGCGTGCCACTGGATTGGGTGTTCAAAGGCAACGGCACCAGATTCTCAATTGCTCCCGTGATCTTTCCCTCCAACAAGTCCTTGCACAGATATGGTTCTGCAGCAAGTGGTCTTCCTATACCAATGCCATCACACGCACCCTCTGAAACAGCCTTGACCATTCCTGACGCTGTACGAAATCCACCTGTGACATATATTTTGATTTTCTTCAACAGTGGCCGAATCATCTCGGCGAACTCAATGAAATACGCCTCTCTTTCGATCGTGCTTTCCTTCTTATGTTCAAACGCTCGGGCTTCAAAGGTACCACCTGAAAGATCGACAAAGTCTACGCCTGCTTCTTCCAACTTGAGACACATGTCTCGCGCATCTTCGGGAGTAGTGCCCTTGTCCTGGAACTCGACGGAGTTGAGCTTGACGCAGATGATGAACGACGGGTCAGGCACCCGACGGTGAATCTCTTCGATGATCTCAAACACTATTCGGGATCTGTTGTTCAAGTCTCCTCCATATTCGTCGGTGCGTTTGTTTGTGGAGAGGCTGAGAAATTGTGCCAGGAGGTAGCCGTGTGCACAATGCACTGATCAAATAATCAACGGACAACATTTCCATGTGCTCGAGTCAAGTCTTACCTTGCACACCGTCAAACCCAGCCTTGTAGCACAGATAGGCGGTCTCTCCCCAGTACTTGACCATTTGCTTGATTTCGGGAATGGTCATGGGCCTCGGCTTGTTGAACTCGTTGCCAGCCCACTTGATAGCCAAATGAACATCACTCGCACTGATCGGATTCGGATTCAAATACTTGGTGCCCTGTCGTCCAGGATGTGATAGTTGCGCGACGATCAGTGAGCCATGAGCTTTGGCTGCGTCAGTTACTTCCTTGAATTTGGCAACCCGGCCGTCGTGGTCGTCGACGAGGATAGGATTTCCGTAAGCCTCGACCGCATCGTATCGAAGCATGGTGTTGCCGCTGACTATGATGCCGATCTCGCCTTCACCCCATCGCTTATACAGGTTGATGTACTCAGGACTGGGTACACCCCTGGCAGACTATACATCGAGGTCAATCTTCGTTGGGGAAGGGACATGACGGGCACTCACGATATCCTCACCCTCTTTGTTCCAGTGGCACAGTCTTTCCGTCATCGGAGCTTTGAGGAATCTGTTCTTTGCTGTCCGGCCAGAAAACGCGAATGTGATTGAATCATTGAGCACCGAGACATTGACATGTTCTGACCTTGCCCGAAGATGTCCTCGAGCAGATTCGACGTTGGTCTTTTCAGCAGAGCTCTTGTCTACCGTCGGCGGGGCATTGATGGTTGCTGTATCGTACTCCATGGTGCTGTATTGTGTTCTAGGGATGTATTCGCCAGCAGTAAGTCTACTCTATGAGAAAAGCCGATAATGGACAAGGCGATGATTGCCGGACAAAGGAATCTGAGCTAGACTTTCATCGACGATCACCATTCAAAGCTGCAACCCAAACATCACCTGCGGACAGATTCCTGAATTATACTAAAAGCAGAAAGAGGTGTTCAAGCAGGTAGAGCTATAATCCCGAGGTCATCTTTCGAGACGCGACATCGTCGCCATCTCCGACTCACATCATTGGCCCCTCACAATACCTCGCAATGGAAGCGATTGCGTCCACACCCACTCGTATCCCGAGACGCAGGTTATCGAAAGGAGAGTTGCCGAAGAACCCAGCTGAATGTTGGAGATACTGTATCGAGGAGGGGAAGTCCCGCGAAATGCGGGGATGCGGTTAAAATACTGACATAAGTTTAATACAAGAAAAATTACCTCTGATTTGACACACAGAATTTATCACAAAAAAAGTTCCTTAGTGTAGTGGTTTATCACATCTCCTTTACAAAAATTCTACTGGGCCGGAGAAGGTCATGGGTTCGATCCCCATAGGAACTATTCTTTTTGCTCCTTTGCTGGACTGTGAACTCGGATGAGTATTTGATAGAATGTTCGAGCTGGAGTTTAGATTGCCCCCGTAACTTTTTAATGTCTAGCATTGGGTTCGGTAGGGGTTCGGTAGGCACTTCTCTACCATGATTGGTTCATGGTGATCTTACACTCAACAGTTCTATGCCCACGCCCGTCACCAGGACACGGTAACCGTCCTCTGTGTTCTCCCCAGCAGTGACATCCGGACTCAGATCACTGTTAGCATCGCTGATCTCGCTGTCTGTAGTAATCTCGAGACCACTAACATCCGCTACAGACGTCCAAGCACTGCCAGCCCTTTCAATTTCTATCCCTTCGAAGAGCTCGTCAGTTTCAGCTTTCGCCTCCATCGCCTGAGAGAAGGACGACAGAGCTCTCTCGAGGTCAACGTAGACTTTCCAGACTTTGACTCGTTGATCGTTGCCTACAGTCACAATAGTCACAGAGCAGGATGTGGTCGTCCGCGATAAGCCTGTAAATTTCAAGGCAGTAACCGCCGCAGCATGGGCCCGAGGAATGAGGATAGTTCGGAACTGATGACGAAGGCGGCCGTGCTTGGTACCCTTTAAGTCGGCATCCTCTGTCGAGTTCGACTTGGATGTGAGGAGGGACAATCCCAAGGCGCTGTCATCACCCCCTGTTGCGACTAGGTACGTCTTCATCTTGGAATCCAGGGCTAAAACATCCATGCATAAAATGCTGCTCTGATGCACTTTGTGGACGTCCGTTGGAGATAACGATACGTGTTGAGATGGATCGCCACCATCAGGGGACGCCATAGCCTCCTTCATACCACTCAGATTCAGGTACCCATTTGTGCCCGCTGACAGAATCAGAGTCTGAGTTTGGTTCTGTGAAAGGAAGAATGCTTGCATCACGCAGAAGCTGCCATAGTGGATCCCGTGTAAGGTCTCGAATTTACCATGATCCCGTGTCGAAGACGGAATGTACCGAATCACTTTGGTCTTGCCGTTTGAATAAGCCAGGGCCAGCGTATAGCTCTCTTCCTGAACATATGTGCTTTGATGGTTATTTGTGTTCGCAGCTGCAGTAGGCTTACTCCCCAGAACATCGAAGCTCATTATTCTGGCGTCTGAGTCATCCTCTTCCTTGGGCATCATATCCCACAAAACCACTCCAATGTTGACTTGGGGTACATCAAAGGTGAGCTTCCAAATGTAGAACTCTTCGCACCCTGCACTGCTAAACAAGTATTCGCCCGAACGGGAGAAAAGCAGGTGCTGTAGACCAGTGGTGTGACGTTTGAGAACTGCTATATTCTGAAAGGTGGATTCCGCTGGGTCCTCATCCATTGCGAATAGACGAATGTTGGTATCCTCTGCTCCTGTGGCAATAAGAGGTCTCCCATGAAGACACCTTGGACTGCGAGCTATAGCTTTGATCTCTCGGCCGTGGCCTCCTCTCTGGATTATGGTATGATCCGGTTCTTGCATCGAGTACCAATTCAATATGCCTGCTTTGGTCCAGATAAACGTTTTGGTTGGGTCGTGGACCTTGAAGTCTTCTGTCCATTTTCGCACCCGAGAAGGGCTTGTGGAGCGAATTGAATCGTTGTACGTCCAGCTTCTGTGGGCGCCACCGCACTCAACAGACATGACTGTAGACTGTTGAGTTTCGTTCCAAACAACGAAAGACGATGAGCGGAATCCATATAAGATAAGATCATATGTGTCTGTACTAGAAGAATGTCTGCCCTTGTAGAGATATGCCCCTTCAATGTTCGGTCCAAAAGAGGGCGAAGAGGTGTGGACAGTTGACAGAGACAACCGAGCTTGATCCAGTTCGTGTATTGCAAATGTACCATCACGACCCGTGGTCAGCACGTGGAACCCACGAAGGCCTTGGGTAGATTGCGAAGACTTCAAAACGCTGATGGATGTGACACTGTCGCTGCCATGAATATGACGCACACAGAAAGGCTCGTCAATGCTCTCTGCTTCCGATGTGAGATTCGAATATGCTGCCAAGGCACCCGCACGGGAACCCAGTAAGAGTGCTCCTGATGAGAAATCATAGGCAGAAGATGTTATGACAAATGTCTTAGGAAGGCTAAGACTCCTGTGCTTAGCCTGCAATGACCCTCCTTCGACTGTTATCCAGATGATGACTGCACCATTTGCCAGGGCCGCCACAACGCAAGCAACACCTTGCGACCGATAGTCGTGGTGCGACGAAGCCAATTGCAACCAGCAGATTCCACCTGGAATGCCCAGCTTGGCCGGCATAAGGGTGTCTGAGCGGCCTAGGGTCAATGCTAACAGATCGCCTTGCTGCTGAGCAAGGAGTACCACTCCCAGGGACTCAGCATTGCACAACAAGACTGCCCCTTTCTGGGGGCTTGAGTAGATGAGGCTGCATTTCAGCTCGCCTTGCGCTGCTGCTATGCTGAATAGATCCCCTTGGTCCGTCGTGGCGAAGCATACGTCTGGATTTATTGGGCAGTAATGTTTCAATGCCAAGGATGCGCCGGTGATATCCTTGAAAGCCTTTGAAATGGTGGTCGGCACGGCGGGACTGCAATAACGGTCGAAATGCCTGGATATAATCTGCCCATCTGCGCCACCAGTGAAGACAGTGAGGTCTCGGTCATAAGCATTGTGTGACATGGACCATGCATGTTTGCCCAGATGATGTCGATCATTTGCGACAGGTATGAGATGCAAGTCGCCTGGATTGTGACTGCTAGAAACCTCAATAGACCATAATTGACACACTGCGTCCTCCCCTCGCGAAAGAAGCAGCACTTCCTGAGTTCCATTGTTTGACCTACTACACACAAACTCGACGCCCCAGATGCGAGAAGCGTGGCCCCAAACGGACGCCGATGCACATTCTTCGCCTTCTTCGACGCTTCCGAAGCCGGTATTGGCGGTCATGGTGTCAAAGATGCCCTCATGAGACAATTTGTCGCAGTCACTGATGTCCCAGAGCTGGATTGTACGATCATCACTGCAGCTCGCAAGCAACCGGGTAGGTGTGTTCCCCACATCCGACACTTCAGAGATGGCAACACCAAATACGGAACCCTTATGTCCAGTGAAAACATGTCTCGTGGACGTAAGCCATAGTCCACGGCTGAGGTCTCGAAAATATGTCCAAACTAAGATTTCTCCAAACACTGTACCAGCAGCAATGATGATCAGGTCTGGAGTGGCGGCAAGTAGGTCACCAGAGTAAAGGAAGGCGCCGGGACCGTGGATGACCGAGGTGTTCTCGCCATCCAAATGAAATCCGGATTCCCGATCATTTATAGCAACATTGACAAGGGCATTGTGTGCTGTAAGCAGGATGATGCTGGAGGAAAGTAATAGGGCGTCGAGAATCCAGTCTCTCGCATCGAAATCAGCGGATAGAATCAGTTGCACATCTGAAGACCGCGTGCCGTCGTTGTTCGTGTCTAGTGTTAACCTCCCGGACTGTACCAGACCACCGCCCCAGACAACGACATTGAAGAGATCAGCCTTAGACCGAAACTCGACTTGTGAAGTTACTCGAATGCCATGGATTGATTGAGTGTCAAATATTCGATGGGACAACAATCTGCGTCCATGAAGGTATATAATCAAATATGGACCTTGTCCAGCGAATAGAATTGACGACCCGTCCCTAAGTCTTGCATTTTGAAGAGCGCTAACAGGTAGACATGATGCCTGGGACTGAATTTTCTTAGTAAAAGGCTTTGTATTGTAATTGTCGACTTACCTCGATGACACATGGCATTGAAGCCTGTCCAGCCGTACTTCATGTAAAGTAGTTGAATTCAACGATGAGCCAAATGATATCTCCAGGAGGGAAATTTTATTCTTTAGCACGATTGATGGCGGTTGTTAACGTTACCAGGCTGAGTTCTGCCAAGACCCCTTTATTCGGCAGGAATCAATTAACTGCAACTTTGCTCCTGGCGCCTTCCCCGGTTTAGGCATTACTAACTACAGATTGAGTCCTCAATTCACCAACTTCACTATTGCTTCCGAAGATCATTCACTTTTCCTGGCAAGGAAACTCGTTACTCTGTGCCTGTATTTACGAAGATGACCGTCGACGCTTTCGAACGGCAAGGCAGAGGTGAATCAAGAGTGTCTTCGTCGAGTCGCGTCTTGTGACGCGTCAAATATCGATCACTGTCGTGGGCAGTGAAACAACATGAACATCATCGAAAATGTTTACGCCGTCGAATTACAGGCGCCTGGGGCAGGAAGATAGGACTGCTCGCCCCGGATCACATCCACGGCCCAACGACTCTACCAGACTCCCTGTCTCATCACCCCGGCAGCCTTCCCACGGAAGCTCCCGCAATTCTGGTGATAAAGACGTGATCGTTTTGAGTGACTCCGAGGAGGAAGCCTCTAACAGATCGAGTGGCCGGAAAGCGCCCATAGATCTGACGTTGGACGACGAAGATCCCGTGAATCCATGGCGCCTGCTGAACCGACGGTCACAGAGGCCTTCATCGTGGGCTGTGCCACCAACGCCTTCTTTCAGGCAATCGCAAACACCGCTAGATAGAGGAAGTGCGCAGACTTCACTTTCCCCAGCCACGTCTTCATCACAGGCTGTGACATCTCGGTCGATACCACAAACACCACTTTCTCACCACGCATCTACGACACAGTCTATGGCTTCCCCATCTGCATGGCGATACAAAGTAGTTTCCCGGGATCCAGATAGCTCTGCAAGCCGCCAGCAGACTCAAGTCCCCTCTAGGAGTAGTGCGGGCTTCGGAGCAAGTATTGGCGCAGGGCGAAGTCCATGGTATGGACATTCTGCTTTCTTGACATCAACAGCGTCGTCTAAGCGCGTATACTCTCCAGCTACTACTCACCAGAAGACTGGCGAAGAACAGCGTGCTGAAATAGGTCACGATCGCAGCCCACCTGCGCACAATACAGGCAAGCAAACCATCCAAACGAATGGCCATCAAGTTGCACACGACAAGGCTGGTCAGA